TTATTATAAATCTATAATAATTAATAGTCATCTATAAATTATACATGTTGAGGGAGGCAAGTTTTGTTGTTCTGAGCTAGTTTTGCAAAACTGGTAGAAGGAACACAGAAAATGGCAAGACAACAACAAGGCCATCCCACACGTGAAGGCTAAGCACACCCCATCTTCCAGGGCTCTGCTCTGAGCCCAGCACTGGTGACCCTTTCTGCTGAGAGCAAGCTACTATTTGCAAGAGAGGCATAATCTTATGTATTCATGAATGCCTGAGATTTCTGCTGTTACATGTTGCCTTTTTGCTGCCATTTTTTATGAGTAGGGAAGCCATCATCTCCTTGTGAATTGGTCAATGTTTTCAAAAAGAAATCTATTAACTAAATAGTAAGGAGTCAAGTTAAATTTATTTATATTTAAGATGAACCTTTCCTAAATTTCCAGACAAACAGTACAGAAAATATGAATAACTGTGCCATCTGTATTTTAAGTGACATTTGATTAAGTATATTAACACTGAGAAAAAAACCCTTCCACTCAACTTTCTACTTGAAACATTTCTATGTACCTTTTTGGAATGTTCCTGGCTTCGCTGGAGAAGCGCAGCAGCCTGCCTTGCACTTCGATTCCCACATTGAAAGCTAAGAGCAGATCAAGACCTGAGATTTTTTTCTTCTGAGGAAAGGCCTCCGAGAGCGCAATCACGGCAGGCAGCACAGCCCCAGATGGGTGTGTGGCTGGATGCCATGTGTCATCAAAATCCATGGAGTGCACCTAATGGAAAGAGAAGCCTTGATTTGTCATTAGGAATAAACTCTGACTTGACAAGATTGGCTCAGCCGAATGAAATTACTGTAACTAGTATAAAAATACTTAAGAACTAGATATTCCTTGGAAAGCAAAATTTCAGAAGTCTTTTAAAGACCTTTACTTCCAACATGGCTCACTGAGAAGTGGCAGTGGAATAGAGATCTTGCCTCAAAGGAGTATAATTCTAATCCAAGTTGCACCAGCCCCAAACCAGTATGACTTTCTTCTGCAAATGGCTTTTTCTGTTTTAATTAGCCTGGTATAATTAAAGCAGCAATTCTAAGCCCACCATGTGAATGGCGAATTTTAACTTCTCCCAAAACATAATGAAATATAAACATAATGAAATGACTTCCCCAGTGCTGCAGCTGATGCTGCCTTTAGGGTGCACACCATAAAGCTGTGGCAGTCAAATCCATACTGCTAAATGAAGGTTGTACCATCAGAACCACTTCTCTAGTGGAGCCACCCAAAGGCAACAGGCACAAGCCTGCAAATGGTACAGGAGATTTTAGCCTAAATTTTCAGCACATGGAAACAAGACCTGCCACACAGTGAACCAGACTCCCTGGAGTTGCTGGGAGAAGGAGAAAGCTACAGTCTTAATACTGGGATGAGCTGCTTAGCCCAAGGGAATGGTGCTCCTGAGTGGTGCCTCCTCTTTCCCATGCCCAGAGCCCAGGTGCTCAGGAAGAATTTTGGGTGCTCCCAGCATGGCATATGGCTGCTGTTCTGGCAGCAGACAGCTCTCAGCAGTGCAGTCAGTGTTTGTAATGTGCTGCTTGTCAGACACGTGTCGTCCTGTGCTTTGTCTGCCTCCCCTGCTCCACCCCCGCCAAAAGTTTTGAGAACCCCCAAGGACTTGAGAGCATCAGAGACAGCATTTTTAATAGCATAATAATGCTTCAAAAGCTGAGCTTTCACATCTATTCAGCTGTATCATACTTCAGAGCAAGCTGGGAAGGTGGTCAGGCTCCCCAGGACTCAGGTTTTGCCCCATAAAACTGGGAATATGCACTCTGAGGACTGTGTTTCTGAATAAATGGAAGAAATCCCAGTCTCTGCCTTGAAAAACTTTGATGCCACCTGCGAATATGCCCTGTAGTGCAGGATAAGGAAAGTTGTGTCCAATACCTGGTAATCTGGATTCCTGGTGTCTTCAGTAAGTGCTTAAAATTGACCTGTGACCAAGATGTAAACTGAAATGATCATATACATGCTAACAGCCAGATTTGAATATCACATGGGCTGCTAGGACCTGAGAGGTACCAGATCTCATTTCCAAGGTAATTTTCTCTACATTGGAAATGAGGTGTTAAATTGGACCTCTGATCTTGTTGTCACACTAATTCAAATAGGCTTAATATCACCATTTCCTTGGTTGGTCACCTCCCCTAGTTTTGCATAATTGCCAAATTTGTCTACCCCACCTCTTGCGCATCTTTCAATTTCAAATGGTTTCAGCCTCAATCTGAATGTAGACAAATGTCTGGGGAGTCAGTTATTGCTTTAATGACAAAGTATGTGTCCAAAATATATAATTGGCTTTTGCAAACTGTCTAACTGAAGATTAAATTGCCTTTTGATATTATATGTGTGTGTATCTCTGTCTGCATCTGTCTGTATTTATCTGTAACTATACTTTGCCAGTTGGCATGGAATTTGGATCCCACTAAAATCAGTGAGAGCTCCAGTGTGTCTTTTAAAGCAGCTGTAGCAAGGTTGTAACAAGCTGTAGAGTCCTGACCCTTGAAAACAGCCCCAAGTCCCATATTAAAGGTGAAGGATGCTGTTGAGTCATATATGTATTATACACCCTGAGCTCAGTCTCATTGGAAGGAAGTTGAAACACATTAGAACAGTCTAGGAAAGTTTCACAGCAGGCTTCAGACTAAGCTAAGATTTTTGGAACATTCTGCTCTTTCTAGAGCAAGAATGGCATCAATTAGTGTGATTTAAGAGCAAATTAAAGAGCATCCCTTACAGCCACTCCATTCACAAAAGCTGCATACAGAGGAGGCAGTCGGAAATCCAAGTGGCCCCAGATGGTACTGGATAAATCCGAGCTGTAGATCTGAAACAAATTGACATCAATTAATTCAAATTCCCAAACCTAAGGATAAATGTGTGCCATATCTCTGATGTCACCAAGATCAGACCATACCCTCTTGGGACCCAACTGCTCCTTCTAATGAGAAAAATATTGTTATTTCAGAAACCATGAAAAGAAACTCGGTTTCCTGTTGGCTTATGTCGTATTTCACCCAAACAGAGCTTACGGGGCAGACCAACGCCGTACACACCTGGCCACTTGGTACCTTCACACAACCTTTGGCCATTGATGTCCCTTCTCACCACCCATCGACAGTTCCCTCATCTTGTTGGGGAAGAGCTTCAGTTAAAGGTTTTGATTGTCTATGTTTTAGTAAGGCCCTGATTAAACAACAGGTGACCCCCTGGTGCTGCAAATTGAACAAAAGGGCATAAATTAGCATGGTCTGGAAAGGGGGTTCTCTGTGTGGTAAGACTTATTGGCGCACAGAGCTCTGGAGCATGAATCCAACTAGGCAGGTCTGAATGATAAAACAATGGGCTAAACTCCTCATTGGTGCACTCCTGGGAAGGCTTCTCTAGTTTAAGGATGTCAAGCACTCCTCTAGTTTAAGGAGAGCAAGACTAGAGGAGAAATATGGCCAATGTACTTCGGACAACAATTAATGTTTTGTGGACTGGAAGCAACCCCACTACAAATTCTCCATCGCTTAATTCAAATGGCTGGTGATATGTGATGTTTACTTCGCTGATGTTTTGAATAAAATCTCATAGGTGAAAGAAAGGAAGGGATTCTTAATTAACTATGTTTGCACTGGGGAGTCTTAGCTTACAGACTATTACAGAGACTTTTGCACATCCAGAGTGAAAAGTAACTTGAGCAATGAAGTTTCCATGTCTTCAGTGGGAAGAACATTGTGTCTATCTTTTCATCCAAAAGAGAAATTTCTCATGCTTTTCTTAAAGCTAAACCTTGGGTATGCTGTGGATGCCAGACACCTTACCTTGCTGTACTGTGTCACTTTGTGGCAGACCTCGGTGCTGGTACCCAGAAGCCCCACTCCAAGAGTATCCAGAATCATTCGCTTGCTTCTCTGAATTACTTGGTCTGTCAAGTGATTTGCATTCAAACCATGAATCACATTGGCAAAATTTCCTGTAATTGTCTGAGATGGGAAAAAAATAAAGAAAACCAAGCAGTAGATACTTCTCTGTATTTAAAGCAAACACTTTTTTCCCCTTTCCTCATTTTTTTTGCTTTCAGTTTTGGGTTACTGCTTTGCATGCTGGCCATTTCTGTTGCCCTGACCCTACTTACATGAATTTCATCAGCAAAACAAAGGCTTCCACTCTTCCTCTTTTTATTCCCAGAAGTGCCACTGTGTTATTTATATTGTATTTATAGTTAGTCTTTTCTGTTCTGTATTTGTACCGTTTTCTCCCTGACGTGAGTCCTTGAGAGTATGCACTGAAGGCACTATTAACTTTGCAAGACTATATCTATTTCTATCTCTGTCTCTAATGACTGTTCACACATACAAACACATAAAGCAAGTAAAAGCAAAAAAACATCTGGATTATAATAGCACCTGCTTATTGCTATTGAAAGCAGTGGGAAAGTGGCATTTCATGCCAGTGCAGCCACTACCACACAAGGAGGTGAGATTTAATTTCCCTGATTAGCAGCATTACTATTCCAAATCTTGCTGAGCTTGGAGCTCAGTGGGAAGCAGGAGTTGGCAGCCCTACCTTGCACATGTTGCTCTTAGCTCCCAGCTCCCATTGAATTCACTCTCAGCTGGAGTCTCAGCTTTTCTCCAAGACAAGATCTCACCTCTTTGAAAAGCAGTGGCTCCTTGTCCCTGGATCCTGCTGATCTGGGAATTATATGTATTTTTTTTCCTCTCCTATTGAACATTGACCTGTTATGCAAATTCAACCTGCTTCTTGGCTGGAGCTGTGAGCCACTGTTAGCATCTCTGTTAGAAGCTAATCTAGAATTTCCCTTCTCAGACCATTAGAAATGTCCCCCTGTAGAGGTATACATTATTTACAATCAATCTATACTCATGGTTTTATTTTTATACTGGCATTACTGAATATATCTCTTATCTCTCTTTGGAAATTATCTCCTTCCATTTCCCCTCATCCTTCTCCTTCTTTACTCCCCTGCACATATCCACACAGAATGAAGGTATTTCCTTACGATTTTCTCTTTGCTAAGTTAAACAGACCAGACTGTGCTGCTCTCTCCCTTATAATATGGACTCAACCATACTATACTCATATCATTTTGTTGCATTGCTCACATTGGATTCCTCTTTTTCTAGCAATGGTGGCCAGAATTTTACCCATTATTACAGACAAGTTCTCACTCAACCTTGTACTAAAGCATTATATTGAGGAAGCAGTTATAAGCAGTTTAAAGCAGGTGAACCACATATCCAATGATGTGATGCACACCTACTGAGATATACAGAATGAGGATACAAAAGCTTAAACAGTGAAGTGCATCTTACAGTGCAAAGAAACAAGACAGTACCTTTGCCCACATCTTGCAGGGATGGTGAGAGGTTCAGAGACACACAGCAAAAAAGCATTGGCCAGTGAGCAGGGGAACTCACTCTCTCACTATTTATATGTGCATGTTGCAAGCGGGGGGGAAGAAATACTGAGCCTTTTTTCTTGCTCATCTTGTCCTGCCCATTTCCTCCTCTGCCTGGAAATGTTATTTTTCTTCACTTTCAACTTTCCTCTGACTAACTGTACTACAAGCCATGGGACATGAGTGATAGGACTTTGCCAGTCATGTTCACATGTTGTCTAAAATGACATATGCAATACTTCATTACCAGATAGAAACATATATTAATTCAAGTGTCATTACATTTGGTAGCATGGAGAGGTGTGTGGAACCACAGTAATCCATGGATAACTCTACTGACTGGGAGAGCAATCAGCCCAGTACTAGACTGCAGAATGGCAAAGGCTGTTTTAACTTAAACAACCTTCTCAGGTGGAGAACAGCATGGGTCTATAGGTGAAGTTAAACATTGATTTGAGTGGTTCTAACCACTACTGAAAGGTCCTGTTTCAGGCTGCATCCTCTCCCCTCTCCTGTCCCTGGACACACAGTCCTCCTCCTCCTTCTTGTACCAGCACTGATGCTGAGCAGACACCCCTTTCTGAGCTGGTCCAGACTGTCTCCAGAGCCAGCTCAGTGATTCTCTGCTGTCAGGCATAACTGAGTATCATTCCCTTGGAAATGCAAAATCAAATCTAGCAGCACAAGCACAGGGAGAAAGAAGTAGGGCTAGCAGTGTTCTGTGAAATTTTGGGAGGGCACAGACCTCTTAAAAGAGAGGATCAACAGTTCTCCAGGAAGCTCTAACCCAGGCATTTGCCTAATTTGCCTATGCTTTTAGCCAGTTCTGCTTATGGATGTCATCTTAAGATGCTTGATTCTGAAAATTGTACTGTGTAACAGAGGGCCTTAAATGACAGAAGCCATGATGTGTCAGTTCATTGATGTAGCCAAAGAGCCTGAGGCCCAGGACTAAAATCCATCTCTACAAATGCACATATATTTTTGTACAGACTAACTCACATTATGTGCAGGCTCCATTTAAACCCTTGCCCGTCTTTCTTTTCAATAGGAGCAGTTGTTCAGCATGGCTACTAAACCACACTCGTGTGCATAACCTGCATCTACATGAATCATCCCAGCACATTTCCTAGTTCCTGGGTGAGACGTGTGCTTTGGCCAAATCCTAACCCCATAGGGAGAGAGAACCAGAATGTGCATCAGTGAATCTTTCTTGTTCCTCTTATTTCCACACTAAGGAAAACCTCAGAGGTAGCCTGGATGTGCTGAAGAATTACCTTTGGTGCTGATAAAATCCAGCCCATGTAACAAGATTGCTCACATAGACAAGGCTGGCAATGGTTAGGAAGGCTGATAGAAGTTAATGCAGTTAGACTGAAAATGGGAAGATTTTGTTAATTTTCACTTTTGTTCTTTCAGCTCATTCTTCCTTCCAGAAAACTGGAAGAAAATATTTAAATCCCAGAGCCACAGAATCATATAGTGGCTGTGGTTGGAAGGAGCCCCCAGAGATCATCTAGTCTAACCCAACTGCTTTAACACAGCCACCCAGAGCAGGCTGTCCGGCACTGTGTCCAGTTGAGTTTTGAATATCTCTGAGGATATTCAAACCCTAAAGTTAGTCTTTTACCTTTGTGATATCGTTTATCATCCCATTGTTTCTCATTTCTACCTCCTCCTCAAGTGAAGCAGAAGCACAACTGCTTTTAATTCCATGAGACTTCAAAGTGAATTCAGCTAGGAGCCAGAACTTGTGATGTGCCTTGCAATGGGATGTGTGGTCACATGCTGCTAGCTGATTTCAGATACATGATACTTCCTTCTGTAACCTTGATTGCAGAATGGATTGTCCCATGCATTGCAATAATAACATCAGTACTATTTAAGGACTGAACAGAGATATTATGAGAAAGTGACTTTTTGTAAAAAAAAAAAAAAAAGAATTAAGTGAAACTGTAAATGCACAAAATTGCTTGGGAGACCAATTTCCAAACTGGTTTGGAGACCTCAGAGTCAAGTGTACACTGTAGACCGGGAGGGGAAGGAAAGGATTATGATTATCACTGCAGGGGTAGAAGCATCTATACAAAGTCCTGTACCTCCACAGGAGAATTTTAGGGGTCTAAGCAGAAGAAGGATGAAAAACAGTGACTGAGAGTTTGGTACAGGCTGTCCACCCTGACAAAGGGAATCTGCTGCTTTCCTCTTCTATGACACAATACTCATGGTTCACCAATTTGGGCAGACAATTTGTTAACTAGCGAGCACGGCAGAAAGACAAAATGTGTTCATCCAAATGCCATTTGCAACATCATGCACAGCTACAGTAATGAGCTGTGTTGATTACAGAACAAGGCTTTAGAAAACCAGTGCCCCACAGAGTCTATTTTCGCCTGCTGACATCACATTTTTAAGCTGCTCTTTCTTTCTTTTGTCTCCAGTTATTTTAGGCTAAACACTGTCCACACCTGCAAGCTGTATGTTTGCGACTGAAAGCAATTTTGGCTCTAGCCTTATGCTCCTTTTGTTCTAAAGAAATATAAAAAATTATGAAAAAATACAGACTCCAGGCTTCTTTTTCTCTAAGCCAGCTTTTAAGGGGTAACTTGGCTCATGGCCTGTACCAGATAAGAAAACAGGAGGCAGGTGCCAATGTGCTCTGTTTACAAAGCCTCTGCTGTTGCTGAGGGTCTAAAATCAATTTACAAGTGCAGGACCTGCTTCTTTCCCCTCTACTGGGATATTTTAAGTACAGTAATAAGGTGAGAATCTTAGCGAACGGTCTGGAATAGATGGTTTGATCTAAAACCTGCTACCAGCCCTACAGCCATAAATCTTGGGATCCTGTAATTCTGCACCACTCTCGTTAATAGTCTCCTGTGCCTTTTTTTCTCAAGCCTACCTTCCTATGCTCACCTCAACAGCAGTTACTGAGTCAGACAGCAATAACACAGCAAATGTAACAGGCAATGTTTGCACCACAAAATGTATCATTCTTGAAATTTCTAGCCTATAGTAGTTCCCTTATTCACATACTTGCACAACTAGTGGCAATGTCGGTGAAATCTCTGAGAAGTTACATCACCCTTATTTCCTTTTTCCAAACTTCCCTCAGCAAATCTTGGAAGTGCCCAGACACATTCTGGTAAAGTTTGCTATGAGTCAATGCACCAGGTCAACATTACACTATCCTCGCCTTCCTGAATTAGCAGTGCTGTTCCTAAAGGCAAGTCCACGATGTGTGTTTAAACTTGCAGTGTAGATGCTGGTTTGCTTAAATGGGCTGTAAGATAGAGGTAACAGACATAATTGGGAGATTCCTAGAGGGTTGCATTCAAGACAGATTGATCATTTCAGTATAGGCACACTGTGAGCAGGGCTCAGGCTACTCCAGCAGTAGTACGAGCAGGTTTGAAGCCAAAGAGCATGTCTCTGATAGGTTATTGTAGCTTTGACATCCTTTATGTCATGGCATGAAGGGGCCTGATCTTAAAAGTTCCATGAAATTTGTGTTAACCCAGTGGGAATTTTAGCTCTCATCCATACTATGGCCTTTACCCA